TTGCTAGTGAAATTTTTACTAGCAGAAATTAGCTAGCAGAAGAAGAAGAAGAATAAATGTCAAAAGAATATATAAAAAGTGGTGTTACTAGCTCAGTTGATTTTGTGTATGTGTTTCGCCGCACGGCTTCTGATATCAAATTGAAAAATTTTGTTTGAATTTCTACACACACTTACAGGTTTTGACAGTTTATGCCGCCAAAGCAAAAACAAAATACATGTAAATTTTTGTTTTTGTACTCCTGCTATCACCTTATATTGAATCGCCTTGGCACAAACAAAAGTAAAATGAGTGGAAATCATAATATTAATGATGTACTGGACAGTGTAAGTGCTTGTGTGTAAAGCAAAGAGTTTAAAACTGATTTATAAATAGTAAAATGTTTACAGCAGATTGTCAAAGCAGTGCAACAACTGTTCTCTTGCAAGTTTTTGCTAGTTTTGTGTTCAATAACCTCTTCTGCTAGTTTTCTCTTCTTCTCAATTTTACGCTCTATTTTGCTTTTACGCTCTCGCTGCAATGTTTTACTGGAGAAGTTACTATACAAACGTAATGTTACTCGCATATTTTCGAGCCTGTATGTAAATTTTCGGAAAAAAGGTTAAAAAGTATATTCATCTGCTGAAAAGATATTTTCGCAGATTCACAATTTAAAATAAATCTATCAGCCCTATCTCCAATTCCATGTGAATAAATCTCTCCAGTGCTTAAATAATTTTCACCACATTAAATAGCTGGACAACACCCTAATTGCCGAAAAAGCGTTGCTTGCAACACTAGTCCTTTATGGGGACCAAACTTGGTGAAAAAAAAAAATAAGTTTGTTTACTGGATATACTGAGATATAAGGAATGTTTTTTGTCTAATGGCGATTTCGTTACTACAAAAAATGTTGCCTTCTTATCGCTCTCTTCTTAGTGTTTGTTAACTAATGAATAAATATACATATCGACACCTGAGTGGAAGATCGATCTATCTCACACTTTGCCTGAAAAGCGCATGACGCAAAAGGTATGTCACAGATAAACGCCGGAAAATCACTTTCGCTTTGTTGCATATAAAAGGAAAAAAAAAAATATCGATATAAGTAGGTTTCGATACTTTCGGTTCACCCATATAAGTAGTATCGAAATAACGATTTGAGTAAACTCATTTAAGTAGGTATCGATACTTTTATGGTATCGGAACGTCCCTAAACACCACTCAATTTCCCGATGTAATAAATTTGGTCAATTTTTTACCATTTGGTCCATTTTTTGGTCCGAAAAATAAATTGGAAATGGCAACCGTGAATACCACCTTGAATGAATTCGTCTTTTCAGCAGGTGTTCTAATTTTGACAGCGGGAATTTCGCAGTGGTGAGTTCGCCGTTCGGAGGCAATAGTTGTGTTTTCATATTCTCCAGCAAAAAATATCCAGTAACTTGCCAGTAACCAAATTTCGGAGAGTAATAGGGCACGTGCGAAGGCGATTTTACAGGCAACAAAAGTTGAATACGAAGTTGAATGAGAAGTTGAAAGTGAAAAAGTTGCCATCCCTATTCTGACGAGGCGATTTTCGATTCAACACGAATCGTTATTTACATTATTGAAAATGAATTTAAATCGCAAAATTTTATCAATTGGCGTAAATTTGGTAAGCCAAGCGTTGGTAGAAGTGCTTTTAGCGAAGCTGAAAGATAAAATAAGAGTAAAAAAGTAAAAAAGAAAAAAAAAGTATGTATACAGAACAGTGTTGGCATTTTTGGTACAATTGTACTTGTTTTATACAATTTCATTTACAATATACTTTCCTACTACGCAGTACTTTTTAGTAAAATTTTGTAATGAATACTAAAAATATATAGCTCTGAAAATTCACAGCAAGAAATTTTTTGTATTCTCTTTTGTTCGCCTGTTCGTATTTACCTTTGTAAGTTTTGAAAAATGGTTTCAACGAACCAGTATAATATAGCCTAGTCAAATTTTTAAAGAAACTTTTCGATACTAAGTTTTATTAAAACAAAATGTCGAAGTTAGCTTCATATAGAAACAAAGTCTTCGTTAGTTATAAGAAGAGATTTTCGTAAATATATTACCTTTACGGCACTCACATATTGACAAGATTTTACTATTTATTTTATTATTCTTTAATTTTAATTATCTGTTTATAAAATATAATGTATTCTTTAAGAAAAACTGTACAAACCTAATATTAAATCTTTGCGAAACATCTAAAAACCAACATACTTTCGTAAAAATTTCGAGCTTTATTAATATTCTTTAGTTTTTAGCCCATTCAATTTTAGTATAATAAAGTTCAAGTTGAAAGTAGCTGGGACTTAGAACTTGGCATTTTTTTTGTCGACGATGTCAGCCATTTTCTTCCATACGAAGTGTGTTCGACGATTTTTTTATAGGGAGAAAACTAGCAACACCTTCATCAAAGAAATCGTAAAAATCTTAGTTATATTAAAATTTAATGGGCTAAAAAACCGCACGCTCAAAATAAATCTAGGAAATCGAATTAAAAAGCTCGAAATTTTTACGAAAGTGTGTTGGTTTTTTTTTAATGTTGCACAAAGTTTGAACCTTGAATTTGTACAGCTTTTCTTAAAATATAAACCGTATTTTTACAAAAAACAATTAAAATTGAATAATATTAAGATAAATGGTCAAATCTTGTCGTAAAGTTTTGATAAGCACTTGAAATGCTATTAAAATGTCAAATTTTAGTACTGAATCCAAAGGAAAATGTCTCTTTTATCCATTAATAGTAACTTAAATATGCTTTTTGTTAAGATGTATACCTGAAAATGTGTGCATACATATATGCGTTAAATGCAGTATATGTGCACGTGGAATCAATTTGTAAAAGTGTAAACTACGTAAACGTATGTACATAAACAATAAAACTTTCTCATGAATACCATAAAATCATAGGTATTGAAGGGAATGTACTAAGAAAATATATGAGCGAATTAAAGAGTGTATACAATTTATAGCCGAAAAGTACATTTTTTGTATAGATTTCGTACTGAAGGAACAATTTCATATCCCAACACTGATACAGAATGTAAACAAACACAGGGTTGCAAGGAAAAAAAGTTGAACGAGCTCAAAGTTGGCTGGCGACCAACTTTGTTGAAAGCGATTAGTTGAAAGACCGTTCGGACGAGGCGATTTTTGCTTTGAACTAAAAGTTGCCTGAAAAATCGCCTCGTGCGAAAGCCCTATAAAGCGCTGGTTATACTTGCATTGTGCTGCAGCGCATAACATGAGTACTGCCACATATCGAATCTGTTTAATGAGCTTTGCATACAAGCGATTATCCTACGCAGCGCATGACAGGGCATGGCAGCTAAGTCTGGAGAATATTGATTTTTGGCTTTGTGACATTTTCAAAGAGAGATGCCACTCTCATTAGTCTGTTCCAGTACCCATCAGATTTACAGGAACTACTGATAAGTCGTTCTTGTACTTACATTGGGGCATATTTATATTCGAAACAAAGTCCACTATGACAAAAAGCAGCAACTAACTTCAGTAGTGACTTCATTTAATCTATGAATAAGCATTTTTCAGTTATGTTTTCCTATATAAATGCTGGAGTACTGGAACAGACTAACTGATTACACTGAACAGCTGATTCTGGGTAATTATGCGCTCTATGCCGAGTATAATTACACCACTGCTTCACATGCGCTGTTTCTCTATGCCCTGCACTTGCAATGTAAGTATAACCAGCCCTTAAGCCAATATTTACTTCCAATGAGTGAAATATGCAAGAAAGTACGAAAACGAAAAACTAGCAAGTAGTTGTTAGTTTTATGAACTGCTGATTAATTTGTTATTTTCCGATGCAATTTTCTTAGAAAACTAGTATTTCGCATCTTATTATATATTTAAATAAGTTTATTTTGTCAATTGCAACTCTAAAAGCACCACAAAAAATTATTTTGTTAATATGAACTACATTAAGCATCATGCCATCAGCTGTTTTTCTTACTAGCAAATAGTTGCTAGTAAAAATTTATCCTGTAAAAAACCAGTAAAACTTGCAAGTTCAGTTGTCATTTTTCCTCTCTCAATTTCCCCTCTTTTACTAGTTTCTTGGAATTTTTTGCGTATGAAAACGAATTCCAGTATAAACCAGTAAAATTAGTATTGGATTTTACTGGATAGTGCGTACGCATGTTTCGACGGTATATAATTTATTGTGGCGAATACTGCGGCAACACAAAGCGAACAACGAGAAATAGGCAGAATGTTCGAGGAATGACGTAAAATGTTCCACAAAGAGAAACGTCAAGTTGGATGAACACTGGGAACAGCGAGAGAATGAGCGATGAACTTCAGAACGTGCGAGAGTTGCCATGAGTGCGAGCGCAGGTATATAAGAGCCACGACACAGCGGAGTAGAGTTAGTTACAAGCAGTGTTGCCGTTTTTGCCCTTTGGAGGCTAGATTTATCTACCATATATTTTTTTTGGCCACATAAATTTAAAATCGACCCTAGCCCTTTTTTTTAGCCCTTTTTAGATGTTGCGGCGAATTGCGTGTGAAACTCGTCTTTGTTCCAAATTAAAAGCGTTTGATAAACATTAAATTCAATTGTCTTTATTCACTAACAATAGCGCTAAATTTGTATAATAATTATTGCGGGTAAAGCGTTAGATAAAAACTACGAAATATTAAGCGGGTGAACTTCGCGGAGATTGCGGAAAAACGATGCTTAGCGAGCGGGTATTAACAACGAGTGAGTATAAATGTGCAAAAATGTACAAAACAAGAAGGGCATAACAAAAACAACGTCAAAGTCGTTAACCCGTATGCGCTTACATTGCTGACATTAACCATTATGTGATCATACACTAATAAACTTAAGAAAATGCATACATGAACTCAACATACCGCCGCGCTTGAACTATCTTGATACGTTCAATATAAAAGTTACAAATGCATAAACAATTTAATACTGGCAAATTTTCAAATGAAAATTATAGATAAGTTGCTACATACTAGACTTCTTCATGAAATATATCTCCTTTCGTTGGTAAGAGGCAGAGCTTAACTATGGGCCGAACTAGTTCGCCTTGCGGTGTCTTCAACGTAACCACTCTTACGCGCCCATCAGCACCAGGATGGCATTTAGTAACTCTTGCCAGCGTCCACTTCGTCGGAGGAGTAGGCTCGTTGCAGACCGCAACCACATCACCTTCTTCGATGTTGCGCGAAGAACGAAACCACTTGGTACGACGCTGTAGACTGACGAGATACTCGTCTCTCCAACGCCGCCAGAAATGTCTCCTCATGGCAGAAATAGTTTGCCACCGCTGACGAAGATTTCCACAGAACCCTTGACCCTCAGGTTCTGGGATTGACTTTAGTGGTTCGCCAATAATAAAATGACCAGGAGTTAGGACCTCTAAGTCATTAGCAGCTGCAGAGTTGTCACAGAGCGGGCGGGAGTTTACGCAGGCCTCTACTTCTGTCAACAGCGTGTTGAACTCTTCATAGGACAGTAGAGTTGCACCCAGTACGCGTTTCAGGTGATACTTAATGCGCTTGACGCCTGTTTCCCAGTATCCACCCATATGAGGTGCAGACGGAGGGTTGAAACGCCACTCGATGTTTGAGTCGGCAAAGAACGAACGTAGTTTAGCATCTGCCATGCACCGCTGGAATGCAATTCGAAGTTCTTTCTCAGCGCCGACGAAATTCGTGCCGTTGTCAGACGACATGACTCTGCAATAGCCCCGGCGGCTTATGAATCTTTTGAGCGCATTCTGAAACGCTGGTGTTGACAGGTCTCCAACAAACCCCAAGTGCATGGCACCAGTGCACATGCATACAAATGAGCAAATGTAGCCCTTGGTCGCCTTCGCTCCTCTACTATGGGTGAACTTATATAAGTAAGGTCCAGCGAAGTCGACAGCGGTGCGGGTAAAGCAACGAGCGTAGGTGGTACGAGTTGGAGGTAAATCTCCCATAGATTGTGTGGCGAGATTGCGGTTTAAACGGGTGCATTTCACGCATTTATGATATATGCTACGTATAAGGCTGCGAGCACCAATAAGCCAGTATCGGCGTTGCAAGACGGTCTGCATAATGCGTGGTCCAGAGTGTAACGTGAACTCGTGAATATCGTGGACGATTAATTTTGCAAGCGGAGAGTTTTTTGGTAGGATGGCTGGGTGCCTTACATCAGGAGTAACTGCAGCATGCTTCAACGACCTCCAACACGCAAGACGTTTTTCTCATCGAGGTATGGCTGCAAGCGCAAAAGACTGCTGCGAAGCGGGATTGGCCTTTTTGCGCTGCAAAGAGAGATTTCGTTAGAAAAATAGAATGATTGGGTATACCTGATCAGGCGCAGTTCAGCTTCGGATAACTCTTGACAACTCGGAGGACCGAATCGCCTAGCAGCATTGAGCCGAGTATTCACTCGAGCGTTGACAAAGAACCTTAGCACGTAAGCGATGACACGGCGCAGTTTGGAAAACGACGAATACTTCAGGATTATAGGCCAGTGCTCGTTTGAGCTCGTAACATGAGCAACGACTTTGCTTCGAACGCCTATCTCGGTTGTGTGCTGTTTAGACGAGGTTTGTTTCCAGAACTGGTCAGTGCTCTTCAAGAATTCGGGGCCCGTCCACCACAGTTGTTGATGCTGCAGCTCAGATGGAGTTATACCTCTCGAGGCACAATCGGCTGGATCCAGTTCCGAGCGGACATGGTTCCAACACTCAGGAGGAAGAATTTCCTGAATGTCAGCGACCCGATTGGCGATGAACGTCAGCCATTTGCTAGGATGCGCTTGCATCCACGCCAACGTGATTGTGGAGTCCGTCCAGGCATACAGCGGATAGCGGAGATCGTCCCAACTGTGTAACACGCTTTGCACCAACTTAGCAGCGAGATGCGCAGCGCATAGTTCTAGACGGGGCAGCGTTGTTGTTTTAAGCGGCGCTACTTTGGACTTCGACGAGATCAGCGCAACAGTGACCCGGCCGTCGGGTTGCAAGGTGCGCGCGTACATAACGGCGGCGTAAGCTCGTTCGGACGCGTCAGCAAAGATATGCAGCTCAGTGAGTGACCCAGTTGCACCTGAGCCAATCCAGCGAGTTACCTTCAAGTTCGAAAGAAGTTGCAGCTCCGAGCGATGTGCCAACCACTTCATTGCAGTAGAGTCAGGAATGACGTCATCCCAACCAACATTGTTACGCCAAATCTCCTGGAACCACATTTTCGATCTTATCGTCGCTGGAGCGAGCAGTCCCAGAGGATCGAAAAGCGTGCTAGCATCAGATAGAAAGGTTCTCTTCGTTAAAATAGCGGGTGGCTTCTTCCAATTAACCACGAACGTTAGGTAATCCTCTGCTGTATTCCACACTAGACCCAAAGCGTGGACATTCTCACCGTCGACTATGTAGTGAGATATTGTTTTCGATGCATTTGATATTTTTTCGCAAAGTTCCGCACAATTCGATGGCCACTTTCGAAGCTCGAAGCCACCTTCTTTCAGGATTTCGGAGACACTTTGCTGTAAAAGTAGCAGCTCTTCTTTGGACGATGTACCAGTGATGAGATCGTCCATGTAAAAGTCTTTGTGGATGACAGCAGAAGCTTTCTCACAAATGTGCGAATATTTTGCGGTTTGTTGTAGCGATCTCACAGCTAGATGAGACGCGGCTGCCACGCCGTAAGTTACGCGCAGCATACGATAGTCTTGTATGGGTAAACTCGGATCTCGACGCCATACAATTCGCTGTAGATCAATGTGCTTCGGTGCTACGCATATTTGGCGGTACATTTTCGCAATGTTCGCGGTCAGTGCATAGCGATGCGTTCTAAAACGCGTTAAAATTGAAAATAAGTCCTGCTGCAGTTGAGGACCGACAAATAATGCGTCGTTCAGCGAATTTCCGGTGGCCGTTTTAGCCGACGCGTTGAAAACGACCCTCAGCTTAGTGGTAACGCTCGAATCCTTTACAACAGGGTGATGCGGCATGTAAAACATTTGATTCGTTGATTCTGGTGCGAGCTCCATATGATTCATGTCGAGAAGTTCCTGGTTCTATTCCGTCGACGCTTCCAAATAGCGTCCAACCAAAGACAGTGCGCTGAGTCATCGGCGTACCAGGTGGACCCTTACGGACTTCTGAGCAAAGGAGCTGTTGCATGACGTCCATACCAACCAGAATGTCGATACGCCCGGGTTTCATGAACTGCGGATCGGCTAAGAATAAGCCTTGCACATGCGGCCACGCTAAAACTGACAAAGTCTGTGTGGGAAAGTCGCTTGTAATCTTGGGTAAGATTAACGCGTTGATAGGGAAGCATTCATCTAAACAATAAGACGACAATGAAAGTAATACCTCACCTCTAGAGCGGCCTCCTTGCGACGAACCGATGCCAGTAATGGATACTGCGGACGCTTTTCGTGGTAGACCTAGACGTTGTACACATGCCTCAGTTACGAAGGACGCATGCGAGCCGGAATCAAACAGCAAGCGCGCGGTTTGCCAATGACCACAACAATCGCGGACGTTGACTAGAGCGGTAGCCAATAGCACAGTTCTGTCTTTTGGACGCGGCGGGTTGGAGCTAGCATTCAAATACGAGGATGTCCATGCAGCAGCGGAGCCTGTGGACGAGGCGATAGCGGATGAAGTGTTTGTGTTTGATTGTAGTGCGGCATTCGGTGCGAGAGGGGATGGCGTGACAGGAGACGCATTGTTGACAAAATGAGCGGTGGTTGTGACGTTAGTTGTAGAGGAGGCATTATGCAGCAGCGTGTGATGACGTTGCTGGCAGATCCTGCATGCAGAGGAGCTATTACATTTTGCCTTGTAATGACCGGAGCTTAAGCAGTTCGTACACACGCGCGCTTCTCTGACAAACTTCGATTTCGCGTTTGAGTCCAGGTTGCGAAACTTATCACAACTATATATTTTGTGAGGACCTTTACAATAGGTACAACCTGAGTTGTTTTGTTCCTGCACTGCGTGAAACACATTCGTGGACTTGCTCGCTGAAGTGGTTTTACCCTTGGTGGGTAGTGATGTTGGCGACGAAAGCATGGCCAGAGACCGACACCTAACTTCCAAAAACGTGGACAGCTGCTCGAACGACGGAGGCTCATCACTGACGAGTGATAGCTCCCACTGTTTACGCGTCTCGAATGCTAATTTGTTTACTACTTCGTGTACCAACCAATCGTCCCAAAACTCTACTGGTCGACCTAAAGCCTTAAGTTCGCGTATGTGTTGTTGAAATGCGTCGATTACACTTTTTATTGTGTCAGCAGTATCACTAGTAGCCTTTTTAATGTCGGCTATAGCTCTGAGATGCCCTTCCACTATTACCCGCATGACCTTATAGCGCGATTTCAAAAGGTCCCAAGCTTCATCGTAATTAGCGTCACATATTTTGAAGCCACTTATAATTTTTAACGCGTCACCTTTCAAACAACTACGGAGATAGTGCAGCTTTTGTCCGTGCGACAATGCGGCATTACTATCCACCAGCGAAGAAAATGCATCAAAAAACCAATCCATTCTGTGGAGTCACCCGAGAATGTAGGCATTTGAGCGGGCGAGGGGTGTGATTCGGTACGACACTTCTGTACGCGATTAAAATTGGCTAAAGCCGTAGAATACCAAGTCTCGGCTTGAATTCGCACATTTTCTTCGACCTCTGTATTATCACTTCCGCACGAGAGTTCTACCGCGTCATGAGCGGTATTGAAACGAGCCCACTGTTCGTTAAGGAGTTGCAGATAACTTTTAACACTTTCTGCGTCCATTAAAAATGCTTCGTCCGTGCTCTTAGCCATATATCGCTTAATGGCATTGAGCGCAGAATCGCGCGTTTTAACGAAGTTCGACATTTTTCGTTTTGCTTTTGACGAGTCGTTCGTAGGTCACAAATTTAATATTTGGCACTTACAAAGGGCAATTGAAGGACGCGTTAGGTTTATAGAGGTTCTTAAGGTTAAATGAAGGACGACCGCACCAATGTAACAAACGAGTTAATGCGCTGAAATCGGCTCTATTTGTTTAAAAGTAACTTGCCGTAATTGCAAGTTGCTTTTTTGTGTTTAGCAGGGATCGCAATTATAGCTCTAGTATTTTGTTTTAGTTCACTTGCGGGTAGCACTCTGTTTTCTTTAGTTTTTATTTGCGGATTATACTAGAATACTCTAGACTTTTTCTCGTACGTATGTATGTATGTACGTATATTTAATATTCATACAAACTAGCAAGCGGAATTAGCAAATCCGGACCGAAGGACCAGCAATGTTGCGGCGAATTGCGTGTGAAACTCGTCTTT